ACGTCTACTCCGACGTGCGCATTAAAATCGCCCATCAATATGAGGGACTCTGTATTCGGCACTTCGGACACAGCACACTGCACTTCCTCAAGGAAGGGCTCATATTCTCCCTCCAAATTGGGCGCATAAACCTACAACAAGGTCAAAGCTTTAGCCTGTAGTATCCTAACTCGGAGAACTGCCATTCTTCCGCTGACAGGCTTCTATTCTATGAATCTATCAGCCAGGTTAGGTTCTAGTCGAGTAAAAACACCGCCCTGAGCGCTCATCGTAATGTTGATACATGATTAGAGTAGCTTCCATAGCAGAAGTTCAAGAGTCCAGAGCCTTGGCACTTCGCTGACGAAAATCCACATATTTTGAGTTTGTAATTTGCGACCTCATCAACTAACTCTTGCTCTTTCCCTCTGAGCGGAGATATATTCCAGTTTCCGACAGTAAGTTCCCACTGATGGAGTCATTTCCGTGGAGTCTTTTCTGACCTGCAATTACGGCATCGCACCGTCTGTCTCGCTCCTTCGGGGATAGCGACTCCGTTGTTGATTGGTGTTTTCGACCTTCAGCAGCCAGTGTCGTGCCTCTATGTCCTTCAGCTACGAGAAGGCGAGGAGCAGGTTCTGATCGCCGAATTTTCTCAGTCTGCTGTGGTCTTCCAATCGCCTCTGCAGCCATTGTTAACCCGGATGAAAACCGAACCCGTAGTATGTTCGATGCCTATAATACCATGAAATGGAGGTGGATAAATTCTACGGAAACCTCGCAAGCGTATGAAACCACCCTCCTTTCTCATCCGGGCTTGGGACCGACAACGGGGAGGGACTAACGGTTGAACAACAGTTAATGGTAATAAATGATCTTCGCTTTCTGGTGCATGGTTCAAGACTACAGTTAAGAAGGTGGTGTAAAATCCTCTAATTACCAATGCAATTCGACGCCGTTCACCGTCATCTCCAGAATATTATGTTATGAATGATACAGCATGATTTTATTGAAACAGTTATTTAATATTTGAATAAGCTCAGAGACATGTCATAAAACATATGTTTTTAGAAAAGAATATGCCGTCTCTTGTTGAACTGAGACTGACTTCTACGCAAGACTCTTATGTTAAAATCCTACTGATGGCTGCGAAACACGTGAACAAACCGTTGACTGCAGTAGGGCAAATTGACGAACATATGTTCACGTTTACTATCCTAAGTCAGCTCGAGAGGAATCGGTAAATATTGAACTCTTTCGTGTCTCTAAGGCGAATGTTACTTTTCGTTTCGAAGAACGTTGACATGAATGTAAAGTTTACGCAACATGGTGCCTCTGATACTCATGTTTCAGCTGTCAAAACGGCGTGTTATTTTTCTTCCCGTTTCCTGCTGTTACATACAAAGCATTTACCATATCTTCATTCGCATTGTTAAGGGTAGATGATGTAAAAAGAATTCTTTCGGATCTGTAATATGCTATACTTCTATCTGACAGCGGAAAGTCGATTA